CAGCAGTGCTATGTTGGCTAGCACTATGGAAGAAAGAGACTTGGGGGGCATCGTTGACCACAAGATGAACATGAGCCTGCAATGCGATGCGGCGGCTAGTAAAGCGACCAAAACGCTGGCTTGCATCCATAGATGCTTCTCAAGCAAATCCCGGGACGTCATTCTCCCCCTGTACTCGGCCTTAGTGAGGCCGCAGCTGGAGTACTGTGTCCAGTTTTGGGCTCCACAATTCAAAAAGGATGTGGAGAAGCTTGAGAGAGTCCAGAGAAGAGCCACGCGCATGATCAGAGGTCAGGGAAGCAGACCCTACGATGACAGGCTGAGAGCCCTGGGGCTCTTTAGCCTGGAAAAGCGCAGGCTCAGGGGTGATCTGATGGCCACCTACAAGTTTATCAGGGGTGACCACCATCATCTGGGGGAACGTTTGTTCACCAGAGCACCCCAAGGGATGACGAGGTCGAATGGTCACAAACTACTTCAAGATCGTTTCAGGCTGGACATAAGGAAGAATTTCTTTACTGTCCGAGCCCCCAAGGTCTGGAACAGCCTGCCACCGGAGGTGGTTCAAGCGCCTTCATTGAACACCTTCAAGATGAAACTGGATGCTTATCTTGCTGGGATCCTATGACCCCAGCTGACTTCCTGCCCTTCCTGCCAGCGGGGGGCTGGACTCGATGATCTTCTGAGGTCCCTTCCAGCCCTGATGTCTATGAGTCTATCATCACTATACCAATGTTAATAAACTAGACAAGCCTATCAAATAGTTTAGCCAAATAAGGTGGCCTATACCCAATTTTAGTTTGGGGATAGATGGTGCACAGGCTTGTATAAGAATTATGAAGTATAAAACCTGTTTTCTGTAAGCATGAATCACTGGATGAAGCTTGTAAGACTGTTTTATAATGTAGAAATAGTTGCAATTTGTATACCCTCTAAGGGTGTGTCCAGGCAAGTGCGCACATGTGGTTTGTGGTGCTGCAGAGACCCATGCAGGCCTTCAATGCACTGCTAATTTGCAATGTGGTGGGGTTTTTTTGACACCAGGAGATCTCGGTGTCAAAAAAATCCATCCCAGAAAAAAGTGGGGTGGCGCATGTGGCAGCAGCATGCGCTGCCCAAAACCAGAGCTTGGCCAGCCAGAGCCATGCTCTGCCTGCTGGCCAGGCTCTGCACACTCGAATCACCACTGTTGGAGCCCCAGGATGCCCCCAGGCCCCTAGGTAAGGCTGCTGGAGCCAGCCTAGGTGCTGGCCCCAGCCTCCCCTACCCCATCCAGGGCAAATTGTTTTGCACCATAGCATATATGCAGGGGTGTTCCTTCTGGACAACTAGCAGTGACACATATTTGTGCCACTTCTAGTAGTCCCTGGGGAATGTAGATTCCTGCTCATGGGGATGCACCCAAAGGGACCAAAAAAGCAATATCACATTAGAACATTTTCCTGATGTACTTCTATTTCATTACTCTGTTTTGTTTTTTTTGATAGACCAATCACCAGAATATTTGAACACCCCACATATTTTTAAAGAAAATATTTAGGGTATCATCTTCTCTCTGCACCGCATAGTCCTGTCCACTTCATGTTACGGAGCAAAACAGTAAATAGTAACTTACTGGAACAATAGACAGAAAATCCCTTTGTAGGTGAAAACTGCCATAAGTAGCCTGCTGTTATCAGATCTGCAGTCTATCTATTCATATAACTGGTTCTTCCAGGGGCAGGGAATCTTGGTCCAGGGGTACTGGAAGTATCATGTAAGCTCAACAGCAACCTGATGCATGACCCATTAAAAGACTTCCAATGACTGCAGCAGGCTTTGGCTGAGATTTCAATTTCTAATAAGGGAATGAACCTTACTAAAAGCTGTATCTGCCACACCTCACTCTACCACTCACACCACAACCTTCCTGCAAAAAGTAGGAAAGGAACATGAGAGAGTTAGCAGATAGGGTCCAACTCATCTGGTGTTCCTCATGGTGTGACGTACATCTCAGGAAAATTGACAGCACTTTGCCCATGATGTGCTTAGGCTTTTCATCAGACACCCATCTGTTCCCAAACTCGTAAATGCAGGTGGTTCCTACCAGTGGTAGGGCTGCAAGTTGGCTCCTCTCTCTCTTAAGGATGTACAAGTAGCAGGGAGAATGAAAAGAAGAGGTCTTGGAATGGCTGAGAGAAGTGAAGATATATTGGCCTGCAGAGTTACTTTCAGAGCTCTGCTCTGGAGCTCATTGGTGCCTGCAATGGAAAAATATTTTACAGAGTCTGGATTTTTTAAATTGATATGAAAACAAAACCAGCTAGGTAAAAGCCAATACAGTATATAGGATCTGTCCCTTTACTGTCCCTTTACTGACATCAAAAGTCATTGGGCCTAGTGCTTTAGTTCAGCTATAGTAAGGGACTCTTAAGCAACTAGATTTTGCCTATGGGTGTCTATCTGGAAGTCATCAAGGAAGCGCTTCTGGCATGAATATGTAAACATGCCCGTTTCCAAGCTTTCCTTTTTGCTATGATCTGCTCATATTTTGCACACTGTCTCTTTGGTTATTTCCAGCATACTTTCTTCCACATATCTGTTTTCCAGCATATCTGCTAACTAACAATATTGTCTGTGAATGCAGTTATATCAGAGTTAATTGTGAAGGCTTTACAATGCTGAGAGCAGAGAAAACTATTCCATTCATTCAAAAAAGTTTTGCTTCTACTTTGCTCCTACAGACATAAAGATTATGTGAGCAAGCAGCTCCTTTACAGCTTGCAGAGCTGTGTACCTAAATCAGTACATGCCCTGAGCCTAGGGCATATAACAAAAACAACAACAAAAGTAATAATGAAGTCAGCACAACAAGATAGAAAAGGTATCATCCCTATAGATGGTATAGATTTACTAAAGTGATCTCAAACACTTTTAACCAAGGTTGATCCTTTAAGATCCAGAATTACTTATTATTTACAATTTTAAAATAATGCCATTATATTGGAAAGGATTTTTATATCTCCCCAAGTAGCAAAATTTCATTTTTGGTGTGAAACTTTTGACATGGACCTAAGAATTTATTATTACACCATTAATACTATTTCAACAAAGCAGTCATTATGGTTGCGGTACGGTATTTCAGGTAGGCTCTTCATTATCTTTTTATAGGGAGAACATTGGCTCTTATCTGTTTATATTCATCACTTGTTGCTATAGTGTTCCAAGCACCTTATTGTGTGGCCTGGTTTCCTCTCTTCCCTCCCCCTCACCAGCTCAGGGCTCTGCTTCCCTGCAACCTCAACCCTGGATAACTTCCCCTTTGCTAGCCCCCATCCAGGACTTCACCCTCAAATCTGTCTTAATTCAGGAGAAGGATAAGAGAGACAGGTGAGTCAAGATGTGAGAGTGCCTATGTCCCCTCCAGGAGAGCAATTTGAGTGTGGCAGACCCATCCCCACCCTCAGAGCCTTGGGTGATTCAGTGTCTTAAAGCCCATGATAAGCCCATGCAGGAGAGGGCAGTGCGAGATGCTGATTTGATGGTAGGAAGGAGAGCAGTGGGTGAAGTGAGTGAGGGGCGTCCTCTTACAGTGTGAAGTTTGGAGGGGTACTGTAGGCAAGTTCTTCACATGAAATCCAGACAGCAAATATATCCATGTTTTCTAGTCGACCACTTGGGGTATTTTAGCACAGGGCTGTGCAACTGGTGATATATGGCTGCACATGGTCCGCAAGTAAATAAGTTGTGATCCCTAGCTCCCACCTGGCCACTGCTCTCCCCTCTTACTCTGCCTCCAACAACAACCAGTGTCTGGGCTCTCCCTCCCTCCTTGGTTTCCTGCCTACCCCTTTGTCAGGGAGCAGGGCAGGGCAGTGCAGCATGGTATGGCCAGAGAAGCTGAGGATGAGCCTGATGCTGCACGGGCGTGTGGTGCTGAGGTGGGGGAGAGGTGCATAATGCCACAGTGAGGGAAGGGGCTGCTCAGTGCAGTGGGGGAGTGGGTCTGTGTAGGGTCCATCCTAAGGGGCCTCTTCTTTACCCTGTTGTGGCTGGCAAGAGCACAGCTCCCACTGGTGTGGTCTGTGCGGCGTTCGGCCCCTAGCTGCTTAGAGATGAGAGAGCCCTGTTTTAGGATATTTGTCCTAACAGCATTTCTGACAGCAGCACTCACTTGGGGACTTTCTGAGAAAGTGGATGTCACCAAGGCCTGGCAGTCACATTCTGAACCGGGGCTCTTTTCTCTGTTTTTAAACCAAGATCTAGCAGATGCAAGCTTTGGTTAGGCACTTAATACAGCCCACATCCATTTATTTGCAGTCTAAATTGAATTATTTCCCTTTGATCTCTCTGCTGCTTGGGAGGGAGAAATGCCAGATCCTCATATAAAGGGCAAAAAAGTTTGTCGGGCTTGGGAAAAAAGACAATGTCTGATGTAAACCATCCTTCAGCTGTAAAGAGCATCTTCTGTCCCAGGCGTTATAATCTTCCATCTTTTCCAGTCTTTTCCCCAAGACCCAGTTCGGTGCTGAGGAAAGCTTTTCCTTTAAGAGGTTGTTCCTTCATAGTGGAATACCTCCTCCTCTCTGGCAGAGCTCATTTTGCAATTCATTAGGGCCCTATTTTCAATCCTCCTTTTCTCTTCTTCCTCTTTTTCCCTATTGCCAGCAGCAGGAGCAAGATCTGTGAGGGCATAAATCCTCTTGCTGTTAGCCCTAAGGTATCTTCCAAGCTCCTGCAGCATTATTTCATGCTAGAATTACAGTTGCAAGAATGGTAGAGGCAGAGGGGTGGGAGGGAGGCAGCTGATGCTGATTACTTCATTGCAACCAGGGAAAATTACTCATCACTGGCTGAGGGAGAGAGAAGAACCAAAAAGCCACTGATCCTGAGGCAAAACATTTCTACCTGGACAACATCATGTCCACCAAGGCAGAGCAATGTAAGTAGAAGGCCCCCTGGAGTAGATCCCTGCCTTTTCTCTGAGAAACAATAAAGCAGCAGCAACTGCTGTTATGGAGAGAGTCTTGATTGCTCTGTGCGTGCGTGTGCGGCGCGCGCGCGTGTGTGTGTGTGTGTGTGGCTGAGGGCTGGCAAGGAAACACCGCACTGTCCGTGGTACTGGAGGTGCAGATGGGAAGAGGCTGGCTGTCTCACTCAGATCTGTTAGGCTCCGTATTATAATTTATCAGCTATGGGAGGGTGAATATTTGTCAGGTTGCACAGTGCAATTCATTAGCTCTTGTCGAGTGACTGTCAGACAAGGCACTGCAGACTAACACAACTAACTACAAGCAACCCATAATTATGATTGTGCTGTACACTGCATGGTATTTGCATTACAATCAAAGGCTTTTATGCCTTCGTCTAAGAAAAGAAGGAATCTCAGTCCTGTGGTGTCGTTCTTCTTAGGGCCTAGTATTAATTTTGATCTGGCTCTGCTGCTTGATTCTGTAAATTGCAGCAGAAGGTTAATGCTTCCTAGCCTTGATTAAATATGCTTGGACATCATTTTAAGTATCTTCTCTCTTCCTAATGAATTAATGCAGTTGGTGATTTTTCAGTACAAAGATCTGTAATGACTCTAGCCTCTTTCTCCATAATCTGTCCTCTGTATTGGTTGCTTTTAATATTCATTTTACCTGTTTCTTTTTGTGCTATTAATGAGGTAATATTTGCATGCTCTGTTAAAGTGAAAGCAACATGGTTATGAAAATTCTGTGTCGGAGATGGGAGGAAGAGGAAATGAGGGATTGCTTTGACTCATGATTTTAGTAATAAGAGACAAAACCTATCACTTCTAAATCATTGACCCTGGTCAGGAGTGACCCCAGGTCAATTGACAGCTAGCTGCTTGGTAGTGTATATAGTATTAATTCAGCTTCATTCCTGGGGCCTGAACAAAAAGTCACCCTACTTCTTTGTACAAGGGTCTCAAAGATTGACCTAAAAGGGGGTGATTTACTTCTCATGTCCTTAGAGGTGGGCCCCACACTGGGACAAAATGATGGAGCAGGGCAGCTGTGCTTTTGCTGTTGCACATGCCATACAGCTATGGTGAATAAAGGAAGGGCTTTATTCTCTTGCCTTGTCTACAATGTAATTTGCGCACACTGTAATTTTTCAGAACACTCCCTGCTGTTGCTAACCCCAGTGCAGTTCTGTTAATTTATAGTGCAGGAGGGCTGCTAGCAACCACTGATTTTTTTAACTACCATGCTGATTACATCTGCTCTGAGTAAGGTTAGATGGCATGGTGGTTGGAATACCAGTTGTTGGTCTGTGCTAGCACTCCCACCATTCTCACTTTGCATAACAACTGTTATATTGGCAAGTGCAATGGTGGGAAATTTTACGAAAAAATCCAGAGCAGGCATAGCTTTTTACCAGCACTAACTCCACATACCGTTTTTCCCTGATATGCTTTCTTAGCAATATCTGGACCTACTCAGAGAAACAGGGACTAAATTACTGCTGGCTATGTTGGAATCATTTCCTCTGTCATTCTGTATACTGATATTTCTTTCCTTCTTTGGTTCAAGTCTATTATTTTAAGATCATTGAGAAAATCCCTTGTGTTCTTACAAGCCTTTACCTGATTAGACTGAAGGACTATATTTGGCTTACTTTTTGAAGTTAACTTCTTAATTACAGAGGCTGCTGCTGTTAAGTTTTATGTTGATGCCCTACATACAGTCTTTATGGAGGGTGCATTTTTAGAAATAAAAACATAAAGAATAAATTATATCCTCCTTCTCTGAATCATGCAATGTTTTGTTCTCTCCCATCTTGTTTCACGTATCTTCACGTTCTCTCTCATATTACTCTGAACCTGCTTACCCTTATTCATGCCACCCTGTATACAAGGTCTGCTCACCTCACACTGATATATGGAAGAATTCCTTCCATTGTGCATACCCTCTTCCATAACATTGTTTTTGACATTTTTTCTCTCAGGCATTTGTATTCTTCAACCCTTAATGTCCTCAGTCTCCTATATTTTGTGTTGCTTCTATCACTTCTTTCCTGGCTGCTATTCACCATTTCTTCTCCTTCTGTTGTCCTCGACACTTCATTTTGGCACTGCCCTCAAGCTATTTCTCTTTCAGGATTTATGCCTTTACAACCTTGGGTTATTCATTAGTTTTAATGGGTTATTTCATTAGTTTTAAATGTTATTATTGGTTCCAGCCCTGAATCTATCTTTCTCCTCACAGATTAGGGAGTCAATAAATGGACAGCTTTTGTGCCATTTCTTCCCCTCTGAACTTAAACTTTCTAGTTTGTTTATCAAGGCTCCTTCCCTGCCTACTCCCTACAACATAATTATGTGTTTTCATTTGCTTTTTGCATAACTCCAAGACTCTCTAACCTGCAAGGTTTGACAATAATGATGTTCTCTAACAAGAATAATACTGATCTATGGTCCATTCCCAGGCTGCCCCCAAAACCTCAGCTGATGCTGCTTCTACTACTGTTTTGCTTAACTAACAGGGAAGAACCAGAGTATTTCAGGTAGGAGTCAGAAGCCATGATGAATCTATATTTGACAATGGGACAACTGAAAAAAATAAAAGTGAAAGATTATACTGACTTGTTCAGAAAAACAAAAGCATCCAGTTCTGAACACTGGTGCTCTGGAATTCCTCACAAATACACCCAATAAACTGTTTGTCTTTTGCAGCTCTGAATAAATCAGGTCAATTGAGCAAAAGGTCCATGGTGGCAGCCTGCAGAGAGTCACACAAGGTCACCTGTCATGTTTTCCTCCTTCAGCTTTACATAGGACTTATACTGAGCTCCTCGTGAAAAGCATTAACAGTGATGTTCTTTATTAAACATAACAGCACAACAGTGGTGCTCAGCTGCTTTACTGAATTCAATGACAGCATACAATTAGAAGGCCACCAGTTCTTTTCTTTTCCCTCCAATAATAAAATTTGGCATCAGTTTGTGGTAAGTAGTGTCCAGGGAACATTCCTGTACTAATTCATATTCCTGACCACGAATTCAGAAGAATCAAGCATCTCTAGAGAAGCTAACCCAGATTTTACAGATGGCTGCAAAGAGAGTTTGGAGTCAGAATTGTATAAATGTCTAAAGTATCAGCTGAGTGTCTACAGTTCTCATTGAAGACAAAAGGATTTATCTACAAATTCTGAACACTAGGTCACATATATTCAATGCCTGCATTTGGATTTGGGAGCCCATCTTTGGCAAATTTTTACTTTAGTACTTTTGTTCAAAAAAGCGATTGGTAATCCTGGATATTATAATAGTATGTATAATGGTGGCATGGCCAGACAGTAAAAGCAACAATGGAGTGACTCATTTTACAGACAAAATTATTATCTTGGTGTTGTGAATTGTTTGTCTGCCCTTTTAACTTGTTTCATTTGGGTACTAATGCTTAATGGAAATAAATAATCTTCCTTCTTTACACAAAACAGCAGTCTTCACATGCTTTGCCCCCTTTTGAAAGAAAATTGTTGTGGAGAGCAGAGCAGCTCTTTAAAATACAGCTTGACCTGAATCTCCTTATATCTCTGGCATTTTGCTATTTCTGTTCTACTTATGGACATCTGATTGTGTCATATGGCAACTGTAAATCCATCCGTGAGTTGTTCTTTGGCTGGGACCTCTAATTTGTTTTCTTTTTTTTTTTATGGACCTGTGGGGTTTCATATTCTTTGCCCTAGCAAGAGGAACTTGGATTAAAACCAGCATTAATGAAATGTAAAGTCTTGTTCTCCCTTCAAATTGAATCATAGCTAATCTAAATGAATATCTCTGTAGCCCTCATATATATGGCATATGAGCACCTTTATAAAGGATCTATATGTTCTGCATTGTGTAGTTTAGCTGTCTAATAAGATTTTTGGAAACTGGGATCTATAAAACTGTAAAATGCCTTCTGTTGCAATGAAACTATATTGATAGATAGTAGTGATATACATTATATGGAGGAAGACAATAAGATGGTGTGTTAGGAATGTTTTATCAGTTTGCATTTGGAGTGCTTATTTAGGAGTGGTAAGCCCAGAATCAGAGAGAGTTAGCCATGTTAGCAGAATCACCAGACTCTTCACCATCTGGAGATCTTCTAATCAAACATCACAAGTTTTGTGGCAAAATGAAAGAAAACTTTCCTTGCTTCTAGACAATCAATAAATAATATTTAAAATACTCTTTATGCTCCAGCCAATATTAATTTGGAACATAATTTCTAGTATTAAATACTATTAAATACTTTAGCTTCCTGCTTTCTGTTTCCTTTGTTACAACACATCTGTATATTCTTGGGCTGAGTTCACTGTATTGATGGCTGAAGGTAAAATATCACTAATGAATCAGGAGGCCTTACACTCTCAGCTCAAACGCACAAATGCAGACCCTAGGATATAATCTAAGAATCTGGCATATCACCATTTCTCTCATAGAAAGTACCTATGAAACTGACTGCAGCTGATCCACACAGAGGATAACCATGTACTACTGCTAGCAGTTCTCCATTAGCTCAGGTGGTAGAGCCTTTATCCATTAAAAACTAAATTAAAACGACATTAAGTTTGTAAACTGGCACTAAAATGTGACTGAATCTCAGAATTTAAGGTTGCCTGTGTGTAACCTTTTGTGTATGCATTATGGCACAGACTTTAATTACATGATTACATGCTTTTTTCCACAAGACCCTAGACCTAGTGAAGGAGGGGGGGTGCTTTTATATATCCGTAGGACCTCTGCTTTGTTTGTTGCAGATGTTGCAAGGTATGAAGTGAATGAGGCAGGAGTATTCAGGAGAAAGGTTGGTCATATGACTAAGATAGTTGAATGCCAACATGCAGATCTGGACTATCCTGTGGCTTCTACTATAAGGTTCCTATGTGAGACTGGGCAAGTTACATAAGCTGAACCTTTCACACTTGGTCTATAGCTGAATATTTCTTGTGTTAGATGCTTGACTTATGATTGGATTTGAGGGTCTGATGAACTGAAGTGCTGAGGACTAACAGCTGCATCTGAAGTTACTGGGAGCTGCGCTTTGAACATATAAAGCATTCTTGCCAAGAGCTTGGTAAAAATCCATCTCTGTGCATCTAAGATTAAGCATCCAAAAGAAGATGTACATGTTCTTGCTCTTAATTTCTGTGCTTCAGGAGATACCAGGATAGATTTGTACTTTATAGACTAACCAAAGTATATATATATGTAGCACAGGATTTCACATGCTGAAGTTCACCTCATCTGTGATATATGTATATGTATATGTTTATGTGTTTACACACTCTCTCTCTCTTTCTCTCTCTCTCTGGTTAGTCTGGAAGGTACAGATCTACCCTGCCTTCTACTTGACTTCAAACTAACACTGCTTAGGAGATAGCACCAGTGGTAGTACACTCGATGGGCAGTGTTAAGGTATCTCTCCAGAGATCCAGAAGTGTAAATTCTAGCCTTGCTCTGGGCTCATACTGAAGATTGGCTCTTGTTGACCCACTTGTCAATAGGTACCTGGTAATTCAGGCTGGGGAGTCAAAGACCCTTGGATAGTTGCATTTTTTAATGTGTTTTTGACTATAGAAACTAGTATGCCTAAACTAGGTTAGCCCGCAGGACCCTTCTTGTGAATGGACCTTTGTGGAGTACTCATATGCTACGGTGAGGAGAGGCATAGAAAAGCCAATGATGAAATTACTGATCTTCTTTTCATAATGGGTTTGAATCATGTGGCACCATTAATGCGCAAGGCCACACACTGATCTGTTAGGATAAGACAAAAGATTTAACTGCTGCTCATTCAGGGGGCACTATGCATCTGGCAAACTGTGATGTGGGAGTCATGTGGAAGTAGCAGCACATCATCACATCGTGAAAGATTGTGCCACTATGCATACAGGCAAAGGGGTTAAATTAAGGGTTCAATATTAACTCTTACTTAAATGCTCGATTTGTAACTCTCACTTAAATGCTTGACTTTAACATTATTGTAACATGACACAATTCCCAGCCTGTTCTATTGTCATCATGTCCTAATGGTAAACAATCACAGATGGAGTTACTTTCTTTTGATACTGAACAAGGAACTTAATTAGAATAAGGAAAAACATGATTACTTGTGAAGTTACAAAATGCTTTTGCTCTGAACCTTTCCTGATCCCCTTATAAGGCTTCCTGGTATGGAAGTAAAGAAACCTACACATCCACTCACACCACTGCTTAAGTGCATGGCCTAGAGCAAATTACTTAGCTGTGTTTGCCGTAGGTTATAAGTCTGTAAATTGACTGTAGTCATACTTGTCCACCTCATGTGGGTGATGTGTGACCTAATGAATCATTACTTACAAATAAACCTAAAAATCTTTGAAGACTCTGGAGAATTGCAACATATTTTTTTGACTAGTTAACACAAAGTAGATCTAAAACAGGTTAGAAAAGTATTCACTGCATTTCCTGTTTTCCTTTTTTCCCTTCTGATATTGGAGTATAGCCAAAATGTAAAGACTGTAGAGACTTGCCTGTTAGTTATAGCTTGGTTGCTGGATTTTAACAACCCAATAATGGTAGAAAACTGCTCTGATTTCCTGATAACCTGAATTAAGCTAATTTGAAGTTTCTGTGTTTTTGTTATTTACTTCATCTAGTTGCTTCCAAGATCCGCTACCTACAGGAATATCATAACCGTGTTCTTCACAACATTTATCCTGTACCCTCAGGAACTGACATTGCAAATACTCTGAAATACTTTTCTCAGACCTTATTAAGGTAAGTTTTAACTTATGTTCTCAAAGAAAAAAAGAATTATTAGGGATACTTACTGATTTCTTCTTGGTTAATGGATCTAATGGATCAATGTTCAACCAGAATGAGTCAGAGCTCAATTTGATAGAAAACTATGGTGTAAACAAATATCTTCAGTGGCTGTTGCCCAATTTGCCCAGTTGAGCTGCTTACTGAGTGGCTGATTCTAAAACAAAACTTGGTTGATTATATATTTGCTTGGCCCTCCTCTAGGTTTAGCTAAGTGTACACATGTGCAAAACCCAGGAGTAGAGGAGGTTATTATGGATAGCATTTCGCAAGTTCATGACTGTGACCTCCCTGATCGTTCTAATGCTTTAGGGACCTAGAGCAGGGGTGGCCAACCTGAGCCTGAGAAGGAGCCAGAATTTAGCAGTGTACATTGCCAAAGAGCCACAGTAATATGTAATGATGTGACGTAATGGCTATGGAAGCTGGTCACCGTGTGCTTGTGGAAAGATTCAAGGAGATGCATATTAACTTCTGAAGAGTCTCATGTGGCTCCAGAGCCACCGGTTGGCCACCCCTGACGTAGAGGGATGACCCAGAGCAGCAGAATGAGGGTTTTAGGTGCCCCATAATCCATAGGGCTTTCAAGTCTGGATTTTGGTTCAGCCCATTATAGGGATGAGGATAAAGTCTGGATCTGGATCTGAATGAAGCCAACAGATCAGGGTTGTTCTAAGCAGGGGGTTTGATTTGGTCCCACTCTCTAGTTGTAATATATATACATTAATAAATTCAATGTGTAAATTAGAGAAAAGGTTTAGGTGGACAATGCTACCTTCCAACATACTATGCAGAATCTTATGAGGCATGGGATTACAAGAGGAACGTGTTTTGTATTCCAGTTTTCCCACAATTTAACTTACTGGATTCATTGGCCTAAATTTTCAGTGGCCTTAAGGTGGCTTCTTATATTGCAGGTGTAGTTTTTGTTCCTGTGTCTTATCTGACAAAATATGTCAAGCCCAGAAACTTGTATTTGTGAGTTAAAGCTAAATTTGTTTGTATAACAACAGCACTTAATTTACACCTGCAAAAATATGCACCTTAAAAATTGCCCACAGTTTCAGTGGCTGATTTGAAAATGTGGCCATTTATATTATTTTGGAGAGGGGAAATATCAACAGAAAAGATATTTTTGGTTGGTTTTAACAAGCAAGCAATTAAATCTGAATGCTTAGTTCACTTAGTACATTCAGAGGCCAGGACATTCAACAACAGTCTAGTGTTTATTTCTACCTTAAGAGGGAAATACATATGTAGGTGTGCTTCTTATCAGCAGAGTCCTTGCTGGCTGCAACCTTTCAGGAGCTCTGTTTACACTTCAGGTTCCTCTTTTGCAAGAACAGATTCATTTACTCAGCATGGAATTTATTTAACTCACTGAGCATTTTAGAGTGATAACAAACATGTATATGCTTACAGGGTCCTTTTAAGACCGATGAATGGAATGAAGCTCAATCATTAACTGAACATTCAACTCCAGAGTAAAAACAAAAGATATTTAAAGGGCATTGAGACTAGGTAGGAAATGTGGAAGTAATTCCACATCAGCCAATTTTTGTTTGTTCAAACAACAAGCAAAATACATATTCAAGAACTTTATCCAGGGCTTTGTGCAACCAAACAGCCTTTAGCTAAGATTCATGTCTTCCCAAGCTGTGTAGCCTTACACGTTGTTTTTGAGTCTAAGCATATGTTCCCCATTTTGACTTTAAATACTGACTTGCCCAATACTGTTGCTCAGGACAATTCTTGTGTGTACTGACAGCCATGGAATTGGAATTTACAGCCAAGAAAAGGCACAAACATTTTCCTTCTGTGTTGCCTGACCCGGGTCTCAGAATTCGGTCAGAAGGCAATATTGATAGGAAATTCCTCACGCTTGATGAACACGCAGGTTTCTAGGGTGAATGAAACTGCTTCAGCTTAATAGGTTATAAAAGCAGGACTCAGAAGTATACACAGTTACTCCACCAGGTAACAATTGCACGTAGCCTCTTAATATTCCATGCTAGAGACTGGACTAAACCAAAACCCCAAAACTAAACACCCTGACTTGTATAGGAGTTAAGCTGGCAGCTAATACATCAATCTAGATGTAATTTTCACAAGTAGCTTCTTCCTTTAAAATGGGCCAATCAGAATCTTGAACATTTTCAAAGTTAGGTCACATCAGAAATCCAAACCTGGATGCAGGTTCAGATTTCATAAATAGCCGGTGTCCTTACAGCAGGCTAATCCAGAGCTCCTTGACATTTGAGGTGTTTGAAAAAAGGATGATTTTGAGGCCTGTAGTATGAGCCCACCATAACTGCATAAACAGGTTCAGACTGAAAGAGGAGAAAGGTAAAAAACCTTACCTACATTTAGGGTGGCAGGCAGAAAGAAGGGAGCTCTTAGCTTGTGTAGTCAGGTCCCATTTTGGGATTACAAGTAGGCTGACCCCAAATGAACAACACTTCAAGAGCCTGGTTTGCTCAGGATCTTGTTCAAAATTTTCTTTATACATCTTTCATCCCCAGAGCTGGATTAACACTTTGGCAAATTAGGCATATGCCTAGGGCCCTATGTGAAGAAGGGGCACAGTTGTGCTTATTTTACATATTATAATTATTTAGTGAAAAAAGTGGGGACCCACGAGTTTGTTTGCCTAGGGCCCACTAAAGGGTTAATCCAGCCCTGTTCATCCTAATCCTTCTTTCCACCTCTTCCATTAGGACGCTGACATGCAGTCTAGCTGTCAATGGTATAAAGCCATTGAGTTATGAACAGGAAGAGAATACAAGGAAACTGGGCTGCTAAGGGAATACTAATTGGGAATGGGAAAACCTGCCTGGCCACCAGGGACTTTAGATCAGGTCCTCGAACTGCCAGTTTTGATAAGATTACCATTTTTTGGCAAAATGGTTTGGAACACTTTCCAGATCTCTGAGTGGGTATTCTTAGTCGGTATTCTCTTGGCAGCTCATGAATGGCAAAGATAAACATTTGATTGGGTAATGCATTTTCATTGTTGCTTTGTAGGGGACAGTTACACAATCAAATGAACCCTAATTTAGGACACTAGGCCTCTGCAGATGTAGCTTTTTCAGTCCATTGTACCCTTTTTAGCAATACAGTTTCTCTTTTGTGCTATAAGCCAACTGAGTTTGTTCTTCTGAGTGGATAAGACCTACTGTTTTGGGTCATGTTTGTATCTGGCACATCCACTGGCTTTAGTTTAGTTACACCAGTGATGAACTTGGTCCATCAAGTTGCACAGAGCTGGAATATGTCATGAGCTCAAGGGTGGGGGGCTGCAGAAGTGGTTATGGTTGAAAAAAATGAGGAATTTACTTTTTATGAATAAACATCACATAAAATCACCATACACAATGCATAAGACATTGATTCATTTAGCTCTTCCTTAATTTTGTCTTTGAGCAGAAGCATTTCTTTACATTACAGCATGAATTTAAGTTTCATGCATTGCTCATTTCCAGCCTTTTTTCCCTCACTTGAAGATTAACCTAGAATTTAATAAACATCTAATAGAACACCTGCTTCTTTGTTGTTTTCTTGGAGAAAACTCCCCTTACATATTTCTTAATTATAGACAAAATGCTTTACTTACATAATAGTTATTAACACACAAGATCTTTTAACTGTCTTTCTGTGAGTGGAGAGAGACAATTTCTCTTGCATTATTTCTACAGAAACCACTTCCAGAAGGTAGTAATTTGGAGAATAGTTTTGCATAACGGGTGCTCAAACTTTGACCAGCTACATGGCAATCTATGTCTATACTTTGCACTGCAGTATACCGTAGAGATATCTAAGCCAAATCCAAATGAGCTCATTTGGGTACAGGAAGCAAGTGAAATGTGCATAACTCTGAACAGTATAATTTTCCCTGCTTCTCAGTTTGCGTGGGCCCTTGTGCTACCATGGCTAGATGTCTTCTGGTACCTGGTACTAGGTACTTGGTTAGAGCTAGCTTGTGTATCTCTTTGCCACACACTACTTTGTATATGTACCCTGAGAGATGCCTTGGTAGCTCATTTGCATACAGTGGAGCAAATTCAGTATGGAGGTGTGGCTTGCCGACATTCAAGGTCCTAGCATGCACTGCTCCATTTTGAGTAGGGAAGGAACCAAGTACAAAGGTCATATCTCAACTTGGAACCCACATTTTCTAAGTTCAGGTGTAGTATTGGATCTCGAGTTTTGACCGGTACCATCAAAGAGCTTGGGGTCAGGCAGTGATCCGGTCCCCAGAGAAGAGAGGGGTTGGAAGTGGGATTTTATTATTTATTTATTCATTTTTTAGATATATATCCCACCTCTCCGATAAGCTTAGAGCAGGTTTAGTGAGGTCTCCTCTCTGTTCGGTAGGAGACCACCTTAAATAAGATGCAGAATTGTGTGCTGGGGCCTGCAGTGTCCATGGGCCATACCTCCGCATTATGGAAGAGGGAAGGCTTTAGCTGCATGATGACCATTACAGTCTTGCACACTCCAAAACAAGGATTTGTTAATAGTATAATATCCTTCATGGAAATATTGCCCTTGGGGAGTGATGCATTGAGAAGTGAAGCATCTGGAGTGATGGCTAGTTGGTAGACCCAGTAGGTAGATAAGACTGGAATATAATTTAATACCTTCACACCTCTAATCAGAAGTAGCAAAATTTAGCATATGAAAGTCAAGCAAACAAAAAAAAATTGAAAAATCTCAGGAATCAGCACTCTGATCATTCATTTTTAAAATAACATAGATTGTAGAAGACTTACTTATATGATTTCAATTACACTGTCATGACAGTCTTATTATTACTTTTCTTACACTGGACATTGGGTAACAGAAACCAAAAGAATTTGACAGACCTATAAGGCACAATAAAAAAAGAAAAATAATCATTAACTTTTTTGTAGGATAGATTATATCTATATCTATATATCTGCTTACTTTAAGTGTCAGACAGGCCTGACTGAAGCCACCTCTGCACAGACCTGTAACTGAAACAAATTCATTATCTGTGGCAAATAAAAAAGGCCCTATCTTACAAACACATAAGCACAGGTATAATTTTTTTTGTGTGAGCCATTGCAATGACATCTAAAGGAGTAAAGGCACATGTGTGCTTCAATGTTTGTAAGGCTGGGTGCATGGGATTTCCAAGAGTGCTCACCATTCACCTGACTCTGCTCTATTGAAGGCAATGGAGTTTAACATTACACCACTATTTTACAAGTTTTAACACTGACTTCAATGAGGGTAAAATTAGGTCAAATAGTGAGAACCCTTGGAAATCTCTCCCCTACAGGTACAGTACACATAAAACCAGTTGGTATGTGGTTAAATATATTAAAAAGTGTATTATACTTTTATAAGAACATGAAAAGGTTACCAGCTAACCACACAATACATATCTATTGTCTGCATATCCAAAATACAGCTTTGTTGCTTAACCAGCAATGTATTCTATTAAAAAAAAAAAAATTATTATTTTTAAAAATTAGAATAACCAGTTTACAACAATTATAAAAAATATAGCAAGCTTGTTGATTTTTCCCCTCTATTTTGATTCCCCCTAAATCTTTTTTATTTTTTAAATGATCTCTCCTTTAGTTTGTAGTGAGTTTTGTTGAATAATACCGTAAGTAGCCACAGGAATGTATGATGACACGCTGTTGGATGTGCAGTTCTCTAACTGATCTTGCTTGCTTAGCCCTTAGATTTTGAAGGTGAATTCTTACCAAAAGAATGTTTGTATTCGTAAAAGAAAATGGTGCCTCCCCACACATGGGCAAAATTAAAAACACACATAAACAACCATTATCATTAGCTCACAAACATATGCTAAAGACCATCTACTATATATTATTTTATAGCTTTTCCAAATGTAGTTTAGTTAACATTTTAGAAATATTATATTATTTCTAAATCCATGTGCCTGTTTAAACTTCATTATCTCAAATGATACTGACGGAATGTCATGAAACAGTATCATATAATACATACAGACATTATTTTGATGCAATAAACATGTGATTTTTAAGACTATCTTAACAAACACACATGTTTATTCTTTGCTAAAACATGTTTCTGCAAGTGCCACACCTATTTTTTACAAGTTCTCAGTCACTTGGTTCAAAAGATCTTCCTGAAAAATATTTCCCAAAATCTTGTCCAAACAAAATCTCAAACTATTTTGATACAGCTATTTTTTTCATAGCAAGCACCTGAATTCCCAAATTTTGCCTAATTGTGAAACATGGGTAGGGCACTGAAACATGCATTTTTATATTTTTGCTCCTTATGAACCAGATAACACATGAGATGCAATGGAAATTTCCATAAATGGCAATTTTTAATTTTACTCTCTTGAAGCATGGAAGTGAATGGTTGCTAGATTTGCCAACACACTGGTATTGGTAGAGATTGCATCTTATGTGGAGTGTATCTGGTGTTTTATTATTTGTTTTATAGTGTCATTTCAATGTAATGTGCTGTTCTTTGTGTCTTTGTTGTCTCTTTTTTTTCTTTGTCCCCCCAACAGCATTTTGTCCCGCACAGGGAAGAAGGAGAATCAAGATGCCTCCAATTTGACAGTGCCCATGACCATGTGTCTTTTTCCTGTGCCATTCCCACTCACCCCATCTCTAAGACCACAGGTCAGTTCCATCAACCCTACTGTTACTCGCTCCCTCCTTTACAGCGTCCTGCGAGATGCTCCTTCTGAACGTGGCCAGCAAAGTCGTGATGCTCAGTTATCAGACTACCCATCATTGGACTATCAAGGACTTTACGTGACACTGGTGACTCTACTGGATCTAGTTCCCTTGCTACAACATGGTCAGCATGGTAAGCAGGTTTTTGAATCCTTATCGTACATTTAAATATATTGTTTTGCATTGCTGAGTGGGTAGGTAAATAAGGTAATAGAATTGGGCTTAAAATAGCCTGGATTAAGAACCTGAATCTGCTGAGATGTGTAGATTCAGGTTTTTGTTTTGATTCCCTTAAAAGGGTAAGGAATGTATATATAATGTAGATCTGGTTATTTGTAAAATATGGATTTTGAAACTTATTACTGTTCAAGGATGTGTGTGTTAGGATGGACTGTAAGTAAAGTAATAGAGATGGGCCTAACTTGTTATAGAATTTGAATTGGTTGCGGGGTGGCGGGAGTGTTAGATCAAGGATTTTAGCTTGATTCCCTTCAAAGGCCTATTTGAAAAAGTGCATCTGGCTTTCTGCTTGAAGTGTCAAGCCTGCTAATATTCATAGATGTTCAGATCCAGGGTTATGGTGCAGGCCCATCTCTGAATCAAATGTTGTGTAGGTTTGCTTCTAAATTTTAATGGTATTTCAACAGTATTACAGAGTTGTTTGAAAAGTCCCTGGAACGTTTATAAGGATTTTTTGTATAGTGCTTTGAATCAATTCATCACAAAAGTTCTGTGATTGAGTGACATGTTGCTATTAATTGCTGTAGTTAGTCAGTTCCTCCCAGTGTGGAGTTTTGTAATCTGTGGTTATACTTGCTAAAAAGCAGAAGCCCTGTTTTTCCTGTCTTCTTATATCCACCATGATATCAGTGAGTATTAATTTTCCACTGAGACAGAGAATACTCATCCCCAGGCTTCTAAGTCCTCGAAAAAATGCAAATGTAATTTTTCAAGAAAGATTTTCCTTTTGAATTTAGAATTATTTTTGTATGGAGTCTCATGTTTCGATTCCAACACAGTTGTAGAAAGAAATGGTATGATGTATATAAATACAATAAATTAAATTTTGCAATAAAACTTGTGATTTATTCCTTTCTCCAGCTGCTCTAAAGGCGTGTACAGTACCAGAATATTTTAGAGTCCTTTTGGGAAAAAAAAACCCAGTGCTGTAATACTTGTAGCTAGGCAATTGTGTACATTGATCCTGTCACATTTTATAAGCTGGGCCATGTTGGATTTAGGGCCTGGCTGTGTAAGATGCTGAGCATCTACTGCCAGGGAGAGTAATGCCGTATGCTGCAGGATATGACCTTTGCATAGAGGTCATGTAAGGAGCACTGCAGTGGAATACACTGATAACTGTTAGACATGACATAGCATTTTTCATCTGTAGACTTCAAATGCTTTACAAAGGTGGGTATAATTATCCCCATTTCACAGATGGGGAACAGGCTGTCTAAGTGACTTGCTGAATGTCATAGGGTGAGTCAGTAACAAATCAGCAGTGAATACCCATGTGTTGCAGCAGCTGCTGTTTAGGATACACAGGAGTCTTCAGACTGGATCAAACCTCAGGTCCATCGAGTCTAGTCTTCTCTCTCTAACAGTTGTCAGCACCAAGTGTTTCAGAAATGTGCAACAACCAACCAGAGGTGGTTGTGGGATAATATGTCCCCTCCATAAGTCTTCTTCTGATCTCTAGTACTTAGATATTGGCTTGCACCTGGGTGTACAAGGTCACATTTTCCTTTCAACAATTTTGTTTTATTTAACTATAACAATTCTGCATACTCTGAATACCCCAGTACATATCCAATCCTTTTTAATTCTTGGCAATTCTTGGCCTCAGTGACTTCATGTGGAAAATAGGTTCCGTGGTTTAATCCCACTTTGTGTGAAAAATACAGTTGCACTTTTCTCTCTGAGCCAGGGTAAGACCAGCATCTCAGCCATTGAAAGACTTTATATTTAGATATGAGGTTCTGATTTCCTCTGGCTTTAAAGATCCTTTTTATAAAAACAGTTCAAAGCACTGACCGCATTCTAACTCTGATAATTACATTCTCCCTCCCGAAATACGCACCTCCATCCAGACTGATGTGCTGGTTTTACTGGGTATACTGTTCATCTTCCATTTAAGCTGTTGCTGTCTGATGTTAAAACAGCTGCAACTTTCCACCTTGGAAGAGATGTCCTTAAAATGAGGGTGAAGTTGTTCCTGTGTGTTTTCCATCTATTATGTTGCAAAGGCAGTTTGGCATAACTTAAATGTAAGCTATTATGATAGTTTTATAAACAGTTCATAAAGTTCATGAGAAGTATGTCCTTGTGTTTTTATTCTAATATACTGATGCTCAGTTTATTTCCTTTTATTTGACAGATCTTGGACAGTCAATTTTTTACACAACCACATGTTTACTTCCTTTCCTAAATGATGATATTTTGAGTACTTTGCCCTATACAATGATTTCGACTTTAGCCACCTTTCCTCCATTTCTGCACAAGGATATTATAGAATATCTCAGCACATCCTTTCTGCCTATGGCTATATGTAAGTGGAACTCGTTCATATTATGTTATATTTCAGAAAGAAGATTAGATTATCATAATAATATTGGATCATAATTATCCATATTTGATTTGCCATGGAAATGTAATGGGTGTTAATCTACTTGCTGCACATGCAAAAATAATTCAATGTGACTATTTTTGTCAGGGGAAATATAGTGAATTTTTCTTGACTTTACTTATGCTGTGCTATTGCTTTACTTTTGCATTTAAAGGGTGAAATTAAACATCTTAAAGCAATATACTACATACACAATGACAGAACTCCAATTGGGAAGAGTGGGAGTCCAGAAAATTAAACAAATGTACAATATGTTGTTTAAAATTGTAGATTCGATGGCAGTATGTTTAACGTTTGCATTGTGACTAAATTTTGCCTTGGAATGCCCATGAATGACTTCTGTCAGTATTACAGTATTGACAGAACTTGGATCTATCTATCTATCTATCTATCTTGTACTAAATAATCCTGCATGCCAGTGAAATCTGTTCTAACTGTAATCACCAGGAATGAATCTGACAGATGGCTGTTTATCCTTTAAAGTATTTTATTGTATAAAGCCCAGCTACTTACAGGCAGGGCTAAGGACCATCCAAAGGACCAGCTATATCTCCAGCATTCATTTATATACCCGATAAATGCTTGATGACTTTTCAATAATTTTTGTGAATTTTCTATGTATTTTTTTCATGTTTCATAGATTTGGGGATCAATGACTATAGTAACAATAATTTACACCAGAAACAGAAAGAGATCCCATCTCTTTTCTGCACAATGGACTTTTATTTAATGATACAAACTACATATGCATTTGATTCTATACTATGGGGTATATGGAAACAAGTATGGTCTAGATTCTCAGGAGGTCTGTCCTCTGCTATTCCAGGCTGTGTTAGATCTTTGTGGTGGTATTTTAAGCAAGTCTGTATTTTTCAGTTTCCATAGCTGTAAAATGAGTACAGTAATATTCCCATTGTTGTGTATTATGAAGCTTAAATCAATAATGTTTTCTAAGATTTTTTTGGCTTCTTGGATGGAAGGTCCCATAGAAGTACAAGTATTTTTTATTTTATTTATGAATATATAATATTTTCATTGTGGAGAAAAGAACATTTTTCACTATGCCCTTTAGTGCCCAATCTTGTCATCTATTAAAAATGCATCTAATGTAGCTCCTTTTATAGACTACTCTTCAAATGCTACATTTTCTCAATTATCTGAAACAGTTCTGCAAACAATGCATTTGGTTAAATTCTCCATTTAACTAAATGGGTGCAATCAGCTATTGACCTCAGTTGAAATTACACCTGTGAAACTAACAGCAATATTTGGCCCATTGTCTTTTTTTCAAATAACTTTGGTTAAATTGCTGTATAAACTGTCTATGTCTCTTTCTATTTTGTTCCTAATATTGCATGCTACTTTCTCTGTGTAGACTGTATTCTAAATGCTAGCCTGTATTCAGAACTGCTGCTGCTGTGTGTACTTTGCAATCTAAGTTCCCACAAATAGATTGGGCTACAATAATTTGGGGATTGGTTTGAGCAGTGCCTAATTAGGAAACTGACTTGGCAGATACTAGTTCCAGCGGAACAGTAATTAAATTGGAGGTAATACTCTTGTGGCATGTATACTCAGGGGATTTAATTATATTTATTATGTGAGTTCTCCAGTCTGTGGGCCTGCACCTCTATAGTAGAGCTGTGAACTATTTCACAGTCTCTCTGCTATTGACCTTCACTGGCTTAAGTACCTCCTAACACCAAAAAAAGACTTTCACAACAGACCTTTCCCAGAATACTGATAACCACTTTCTCAGCAGTGGTTAGATCAGTGGTTCTCAACCTCTTTGGTCTCGAGGCACCCCTCACTGGACTTGAGAACCCCTCCATAACTTTTATGAGTTGAGTGGCACTCAACTTCAAAAACTAATTAATATATTACACTGCTTATGGCCTTGCTGGGAAGTGGGGGCAGGGGCTCTTTCAGTCAGGGACAAGCCTGAGTCGGTGTTTATCTGCTTATCTTATCTGCTTATCTCCTCACATCTTCCCTTGAAGTTATGATTTTCCTCTGGCTGTTCCAGCATACCACCCTTCAAAGGATCTGGCATCACCCTGGTTGAGAATCACTGGTGTAGACAAACCAGAGCAGCTTGAACTTTTGCCTGGTCCAGTTAGGCTTTGCCTATTAGGATTAAATTCCTAGTTTCCAGTGTTTTAAAATACAGTTGAGATCAGTGTCCTGGCACAGTTCTACATACTAGTGAGGAATGGGAGTTTTGGTCTGAAATCAGTGTTTAAATTCATGATGCTAGTACCTGAGAGAGCAATCTAATATAGACCAATAACCAACATACTTCATCAATTCCATCCAGGCCTCCACAGCAGCCTTCCCATTTCCCATCCTCTTTATAACCATACTCCAGGTGTTTGAAGACTTTGATCAAATCCAGTTCCTTGTTTTGAGACTATATAATCTCACTTCTTTTCACCTTTCTCTGTGTGTCATATTTCCTAGACATCTAGTCATATTTGTTGTTGTCTGCTGGACTCTTCAAGTTTGTCTGCTCTTTTTTGAAGTGTGGTGTCTCAAATTGAACACAGTACTTCAGGTGAGGCTTCACCAGTGCTGAACAGAGCAGAAGAATTACTTCCCTTGGCTTGCAAGTCACAGTCCTGTGAATACAACCTGCTGTGTTATTGGCCTTTTTTGTACTAAGAATATTGCAAAATATTGACTCAAATGTTGACTTATATTCAGCTTATGGTCCAGTGGAATCTCCAAATCCTTTTCTGCAGTACTGCAGCCTAGGCAGTTATTCCCCAGTTTGTTCCTGTGCATTTGATTATCTCATCCGAAGTGCAGAACAAGTGCAAAAGCCTAATTAATTAGTTTTTGACCATTATTTCAGGTTATCAAGGTCATTCTGAATCCTAATTCTTCATTTTAAAAAACATACATGTATCCCAATGAATTTTGTTTGCACTAGTCAGAAGCTAAATCATGTGAAGTTACTGTCTTATTTTCCTTAATAGACACTAAGAAATGTTTTTTGCTTTCTTTGAAGTGGGATCCTCAAAGAGAGAAGGAGTACCTGCTCATGTCAATCTATCTGCATCTTCAATGCTAATGATTGCTATGCAGTACACAACAAACCCTGGTACGGATAATTGTGGCCCATTATTTGTAACTCTCTCTCTCTCAAAGTATGAGTCATAAAATATTATGTCAAACCCAGCCACCTGAAAGTACAGACGATGGGATATAAGCTTAAAAAGGGATTAAAAATAGTTCTTTTGGATAAAACTGGCAGTTCTTAGCCTAGTGCTCATGAATAGTCATTATGCAGATAAAGGATAGAGACACAAAAGCAGGACTGGAGCACAACGTAGCTGTTAAACTAGTCCTGCTTATCAGGAAATGGCTGTTAAGCTAGGAATGGATTTACAATATCAGTATTTAGTAACAGTTAGTACACACTGGTTGCAACTACACATGCAATTAGAATGGAGATATAAACTCCAGTGAAATTCGTGCTGGAGTTTATTGCTCCTGGGCACAGCGTTTGTATGTGCACTTGAGACCGCAGCACACTGAGCTGGGGCAGAGCAGCCCCAGCTGGCATGGGGCCCTGGGGCCCAGCCTGCTAGCCCAGGGCTGCTCTGCCCCAGCAAAATGTGCTGCAGAGGGGCTGGCTAGTGCTTCAGTGGGGAGGTAGCCAGCAGGCAGCCCTCACACAGTAGCACCCTCATGCCCCAGTCAGCCGTGTCACTGTCTACATGTGCATTTCACTGCACATAACTACTCCACTGTAGGCTAGTACTTGTCCTAGACAGTACTAGCCTACAGTGGAGTTAATTAGTTTACTGTGGCTGAATAGTGTCACACATGTAGATGGTGATGCTTTACTCCAAAGCTAATTAGTCTACTCCACAGTAAAGTGCATGTATAGATACGTCCACTAATGTCATAATCAAATATAAGATGGACATTGTTTTATTGTCTCCTATACTGATGCCTGTACTATTGAAGTCACACTGACGCCATTTTTTACAGACCCAGAAACTAGCTATGCTCAATTTAATTGTATTTAAGTATCCAACAGCAAACTCCATTTTTTCTTACATTGGAGCAACTCCAGTGAAGTCAGTAAGGTCACATGACTATCAAGTGAAGACATTTGACCCAGGGTTGTTGACTGTCTTCATATACACACCTATTTCCCATTCTGTTTATGTCCTTAGTTGTTTAGATTCTGAAAAACACCCATCCAGCATGAGCAAAGGGAAAGTAATGAATGTTGCGTAAAAGTAGGCGACTACTTAAAACCCCTCCACCAGAAATCACATATGAATTGGAATCTTGTGTGAAATATTTTGCTGTTGATTCCCATTTTCCTGCTCTAATCACAGTACAGTTATTGGAGAGGTGAACTTGGCCCTGAATATTTACATAATGCTGTGTAAACTGATAGATAGTCCCAAATTCAGACATAGGCAAATGGAAATCCTCCATCTCTGTGCAAAGTGTGAGACCCAATATTTGTTTTACTAGTAATTCTGAACATTTACCTATATTCTTCAGCAAACAGCTGGTATTCTTATCTTGTTGTTAGATAATCTTATAGATAATCTTATCTGATTGTTGTTTCTCCTTTCTGATTCCAGAGTAATGATCTATTAGCACATAAATCGCTTTTTAAAAACCAATTAAATATAATGTAAAATATTGAATTTACAGGGAAAGTAAAACCCAATTAGCTCAGTGCAACACAAGCCATTTCTTTGCCTCGAGCTTCCATTTCAGTGTCATATCTGTCCTGTCTTTTCTCTCTCAGTGTATCACTGCCAGTTACTGGAATGCCTCATGAAACATAAGCAAGAAGTATGGAAAGTAAGTTCGTGATCAAATGTGCTTTGCAGGAACAGTTTTGTTTATACAGTAATGAAAAGTAGGTGGTTTGAAAATGGGAGTTACTGTAAGCCAGGATGCCAGAAGGAGAGATGCTGATAGTCAATTCTGGTGCTCAAGTCTGAATTTATTGATACAGATTCATCCTTAGAGATTGGGGCATGGTTCCTGAATTCTGTCTGAATGTGGCCCAAGTTAGCAGAAATGTCACAAGGACCAGTGATTTTATCAGTTTATATTGGACTGAGCTTTAATGAGGACAGTTTTTGTGTGTTCTTGGGTTGAACCGAATCTGGATGTAGTGTTGGTTCAAATGCCATCTTTTCACTCCCTATCTAGACAGAAGGCTTAATTTTTATGTTGTATATATTATATGAGGGGTGGTGGTACCCTGGGTCCCAGCTGGGATCAAAGCTCTAAAGTGCTTTATATACACACCAGTAAAGTTTCCTATATAATCTACCCTTGTGAGTTGACAGCTAATGATAGACAGATAATACAATTTGGGCATTTTAATATATGTATGTACATTTTCAACATGTATACTGTTATGAAATAACTCTAATCAGATTGCACATGTCTTTCCTTAGGATTTGCTGTATGTTATAGCCTATGGCCCTTCCCAAGTAAAACCTCCAGCTGTACAAATGCTATTCCACTACTGGCCCAACTTAAAACCACCTGGGGCAATAAGTGAGTACAGAGGACTGCAGTACACAGGTAAGTACATAACTGTATAAATCCAAACTCATAAAACAAACCCAATTCCTCTATGTTTTCTTCAGAGGTTATGCTTTCTAAGATTCTTAACATTGTTGAGGCTCTCCTCTGGCCACTCTCACTTCTTTTATAAAGTGTGCTGCCCAAAACTAGACATAGGATTTCAACTGAGGCTTCACTAGCACTGATCAGAACAAACAGATCATGTCCCCTGTCTTACACATGGATACTCCTGTTAGTGTGTGCCAGAAAGAGATTTGTCTTCTTTGCAACAAGATTACAATGTTGATGTTGGGGCATTTGAAATTGGAACTTGTGGCTGGCTCCAAACCGTCCCACTTGACCTCATCTCTGGCATTAGCATATTGCCCCTCCCTTTACATAGTCCCGTCCATTTTATTTGTGTCAGGTTATTATTGATTTTGCATAATTCTGGCGTGCATACTGCTAGTCTATGTGTATAATAGCCCATGGTGTTGATTGCTAGTCTATGTATATAATAGCCTATGAGTTTAGTTCACTACATTATTATATTTTAAATTATGCAGCTCACTTAGGCTAATCTCAGGAAACAAATGTGATTTACCATGTGTTTTACAGACAGAAGTCTCATCCTTTTCTGCAGTTCTCTTCTGGGGTGGGAATCAAGTGAAGGGGTGAACAGTCTTGGGATGAGTGTGTCTTACTCCTTCCATATATATATATCTTCAGGGATCTTGATTTTCTCTGATTTAAAAAAAATCCCCAATTTTCAGTTAAAAAAGTAACCCCAAATCCACATTTTTCCATGATTTAAATGAAACACCACTAATATATATATATAGGCATGTCATTTAAATCATGGAAAAATGTGGATTTGGGGTTACTTTTTTAACTGAAAATTGGGGATTTTTTAAAATCAGAGAAAACCAGTATCCCTGCATCATCATATAGTGTTGATCATGCTGCTGATGCTTCTTAGGGAAAAGGTTGTGTCTTCCTTTTTGCTTGTACAGCACTTAGTATAGTAGGGCCCCAATTCTGGTTGGAGCCTTTAGGCACTAACTTAAATAATAGATGTGAACATCATTTGTTTGTTTGTTAATCAATTGTGTTTTGGTCTTGCAGCATGGAATCCCATCCACTGCCAGCACATTGAATGCCATAATGCTATTAACAAACCAGCCGTAAAGGTACTGTCATTTCCACAAGGCCCTAGTGGCAAGAAGTGGCCAGTGGTGTCCCACAGGGGTCCGTGCTTGGTCCAGTGCTTTTCAATATCAATGATTAGCAATGATTTGGATGTGGGGGTGAAGAGCTCACTGGCTAGGTTCGCAGATGACACCTAGTTATGGGGGAGCATGGTCACACTTGACAACAGGCTGCAGATACAGGCAAACCTAGACAGGCTGGCAAGTTGGGCAGATCAGAACCAGATGAAGTTCAACATTGAGAAGTGTAAAGTGCTCCATCTGGGGATGAACAAACCCCAACATACTTACAGGCTCAGTGGCACCAAACTGACTAGTGTCATGACTGAAAGGGACCTAGTGGTAATAATAGACCATAGTATGAACATGAGCTGTCAGTGCGATGCTGTTGCCAGCAGGGCAAACAATACTCTGGCATGCATCAACCGATGCATCTCAAACAAAACCAAGGAAGTGATTCTTTCGCTTTACTCAGCACCGGTGAGACCACAGCTGGAGTACTGTGTCCAGTTCTGGGCACTGCATTTCAACAAGGGTGCAGAAAAGCTTGAGAGAGTCCAGAGAAGAGCCACCCATATGATCAGAAACTTGCAAGGCAAGCCATATAGGAAAAGCTGAGGGACTTGGGCCTCTTCAGCCTAAAAAAGAGAAGGCTCAGAAGGGACTTGGTAGCTGCTTACCACTACATCAGGGGAAAACATCAAGGGCTTGGCGAACAACTGTTCATCAGGGCACCCTTGGGAAAAACCAGGAGTATGGCCACAAACTCCTGGAAGACTGTTTTAGTCTTAACACTAGGAAAAACTTCTTCACAGTCAGGGTGTCCAGACTGTGGAGTAAACTCCCTCCAGAGGTGGTGCAATCATCTACCCTGGAAATCTTCAAGAGGAAACTGGATGGCCACCTTGCTGGGGTCACTTGACTCCAGTTCTCTTCCTGTCTAGTGCAGGGGGCTGGACCCAATGATCTTGCAAGGTCCCTTCTAGCCCCTTACAATCCATGAAGTCTTACGATCTATGAATCTAGCTTTGCCCACTTGAGGGCTTGTAAGCCAAGTGGTGGAAGCTAGGACCACATTTTGCCTCCTATCCCGTGTGAATGTTAGTAAGTAGTGCTTTTATATAACCAGTGCCTGAACTTGGTACAGGAGTTTCTGGCAATTACCCATCTCTTTGATAGTCTACCCTAACTCCTGTTAAATGATACAATCATAGAGAAGTAGGACTGGAAGGGACCTCCATATGTCGTCTAGTCCAACCCCCTGCCTGAAGCAGGATTATCCCTATCCAAACCATCCTATACAAATCCATTGTCTAACCTCTTAGCAAAACTACACAGTCAAGCCTGGCACAAGACATAACACCCTAACCTGCCACAGGTCAGGCACAACAGCCGATGTCCTGCTGCTGTAAATGTTGTTACTATAAGCTCAGGAGATCCCAAGAAGAGGGCCACACTCCCTGCTACAGAGGAAGGGAAAAACTAGCTTGTTTATGGTGTAAAATTCCTTCCTGACCCCAAATATGGCAATCAGTGTGACCGTGAGCAGAGGGGAAAGAACCTTGAGAGAGGAACCTCCAGTTTTAAGTCTCAGCAGGAGCAGTAGCGCACTCATGGCAAAATCCCCAGCCTCAGCTGCAGCCAACACCCAGTGTCTCCCAGGCTTAAAAAAAAATCTCTGACACGTTGCAACAGGGGCGAGAGTCAGGGAGGAAATCCCAGCCCCATGCAGCAGCCAGCAGTCATGGTTCTCCTGAATCTTAGGCTGATGCCCAATGTCTACTGAAGAACTATTCGACCCAACTGTTGTACAGATATTAAAACAATTAAATTAATAAAAAAGACAGTTAATAGATCTTCCTTCTTGGCAAAGTATTCTAGCAGCCTCTAATGGAAAAAGATGTTCACACTGGACTTTGTAGCTCCTAACAATATTCCCCGTCCAGCATACCATGCTCCTACTCAAAACCTTGCTAATCATCCCCAATTATCACTGTCCATCCCCAGAGAAAGGGAACAAGCAAGGATCATTTTATATCTTGAAACTCACCAAATTCAGGCTCTGGCCACTCAGTGAGGAGAGCAGAGGTTCTGGAAATTTCTGTTGCCGAACTGTTGATATGGAGAATCGAGGCCTGTTCTTCCCCTCATACTATACCTGTCAGCGCTGGGCTGGAACTGCTTGTGCTTCTCCATGTGCCCAGGAACAGGACCCTGCTTATTTCAGTGCTGAGAATTGGCTTAGTTGCTCTGCAGAGCTAATTAGACCAGGTGCTGACCCATGCAAATACAGCTCTGCTGTTTCTGTTTGGGTTGTAGTCTGTGTGGAGCAGACTGGCATTGCTCCAGGTGCTACCTAGCACAGTGAGTGAGGCGTATAGACACACCCTTAAACACATGCATAGAGATGAGATTAACATCTAAGGAAAAATAAAACATTTGTCTCAGGGGAAATAAGATGAAGTGCTTGGAAAGACTAAGAAACTATTTAAATGTAATCAGTTAATGCTCAGATGAGACATTACAGTGTCTCCATACTATAGTCCTATTTCTAATTACAGACCTTAATTATGCATTTGCTCAAGTGTGTGTGGTCAGATCTCCCTCTAGTGGCTAATCCACAAGCTTTGCCTCTGGTGCAAGACAATGGGGTTTCTCTTTTAGCTGAGGAGAAAACTGCATGTTGGGAGATGAAGGTCGTTGGCTCTATCTCTGTTACCATGCTTATTTTATACGTATAGTTAACAACTCTGATGATCGGAAGGAAGATACAAGGAATGTATGGATATGTTACAACAGACACCGCTGAGGTCCAGAATTTTACATGACCTTGACCTAAAATACTGGGGCAAATTCTCCTGTATGTAAACCCATGTCTTAGGGAAAAAAAACCTATGGCATGTAACAACTGTGTGCTTAGCAATAGTAATGTAAGGTAAAACATGCCTGTGTTACTGAGTGTAGATCACTCCCATGGACCCAGTCACAGTGAGAACTCAGGAAGTGGACATCTCACTGTCCTTGTGCTGGCTGTTTTGTGACTCTCCTTGCTAGTCATTTGGGGCCTAATATTGATCAGTGCTGAGTGCTTGCTGCAAGATGACTAATGCCCTCAATAATCACTGAAGTCAAAGCGTGTTGAGAGTACATAATACCCTGTAGTACAGGAGGAACCCAACCCTTTTGGCAGACCTGCTACAGATAAAGCACATCACCCACCCTGAGTGCCACTCTGATCCCTTCCCCTGCTTGATCTGCTGCTCTGCCTTCTGCTCCCTGGCCTATCTGGGCTGCCTGTTCCACCTGTGGAATGTGTGCTGCAGGGTGGCCACTCCTGCTATAGCATCACAGATACCTTGTGTTGTTATGAAACAGAGCATGATCATGGAGAATTGACTCCCTTTTGTCTTTCTATGTGTTTCAGATGTGTATTGACCCTTCCTTGTCTGTGGCTTTGGGTGATAAACCTCCCCCACTGTACCTTTGTGAAGAATGCAGCCAGAGGATTGCAGGGTGGGTAAACTGAAAGCAGATCCTAACTAGTCAGTTAAAAACAGCTACATGGAATGAATATACAGCATTGGATTATAAAACCCTCCCTTCTGTTACTCGTGACCCTTCCACAAACAATCCTTTTGAAGTCATTGGAACCAATTGGGGGTAAGATGCCATCTCTGAATAAGTGTCAGCTCTGATTTCAAGTGGAGAATATTTATTTTGAGTTGGCACAGTAGTGAGTCCTGAAGGTAAGATTTGTAAATGATTTGATATTATGGGATGAATTGCTTCCAGTTGTGGAACCCCACTAATCCTTTTGTACAAGAAACAGCATTTGTTTCCACTTCTTACTGGCATTAAAAGCAAGATATAAGGTCCACTCTTACTGAGACATCATTACTTTTATGCAAAATATTCTCTAGTAAATTATGGCTCACCCAGATTTGTCAAATACATGAAAGAAGTACATCCTGAAATGAGTTATCCTCCCTTTTTTAAATTACTTGTTTGGAAGCTCATTAATTTACAAAATCTACCAGTTCTCAAGGGATCTTCCAATCATTAGCACAAATGAATGACGTTAGCTTAGTTCAGAAGATGCACATATTTATTTTTGGCCCTTATTTAACAGACACTTCTGCATCATGCCAGCTGCAAGAGAAAGCAATTAAATTTCACAGAAGCCACCTTGGTTTTGAAGTCATCCTTAATTCAAAGCTGCTAGGGAAAGTAATTAGATTTAATAGAAGCCCTGGCTTCTGAATAGATATACAGAATATGGTGCAGGTACTTTTGGGTTTTTTTCTCCATGCTTATCGAACACTCTTCATTATCATTTTTTGGTCTTAGGGCAAAGAGAACATACTGCATATTCATTTGCTAAATTAACACATTCAAAGTAATATTTGAAAGGCAAGCACATGGTGGACTGACATCAGCACAACAGTAATGTTTAATAAATAAGTCAAAAGAAAAACAGTTGATTGAAAGCAGCCTGCTATTTCTTGTGTTGTTTAAAGAAAATCTATTTTAGAATAACACAGAGCTGCCCATCACAGTCATTTAGATCACTATTTCATTTGCTCAAAAGTAAATAAAAAAGGAATTAATGATATATTTGCATATTTTTAGGGATCACAGTGAGCAGTGGTTGATTGATGTTCTTCTGCCACAAGGTAAGACTCTCTTTAAGGGTGGATAACCCAAAATAATATGAAACACAGTCATTAGTATATTCATATTTTCTCTGTTTTGTGTTATTTGAAATACTGTGTTATACATTAAAGAAAACTACACAGAACCCTAGAAATTAATAATAGTTTGCACTTAACATGTGACTTAACATCTTCAGAGTAATGTGAAGGACCTAATTAGTAGGTCCTTTACACCAGATGTGAGGCAACTAAGGAATATCATGTGGCTCTTTATATATGAGACAGCAGACACCCCAGGAAAGATTTCAAGAGCTGAACATCCTCAGATGGGCCTTGATTTCCAAAAAAGCTCAGCTTCTGCTCTTGGACTGAAGGGAGAGCTGATTTCTTTTGGAAACCTGGCCCAGGACACATCTGAAAATCTAGCCCAAAGATATTAACTAATTTACCCAAAACCACAAAATAATCCCCACAAAACCAGGATTAAAGTGAGGATGTTTCCCAGTCTGTTAGGTCCTGTGAGGTAAAATCCAGATATCCAGATTGGTCTTTCATGTGCTTCCACATCAGGCTTAGCCCCGACTAAAAATTAGCAGATGTCTGGTACCAAGAGCATTCAAAGAAACAAGGCTCTGTAAATAATCAGTGGGAAAAGTTAGGTGCCTCTAAATGGCAAGTCAAGTCTGGACACTGATGGGGGTACCAACAGGAAACACTGAATACAGGGTTGTGCCTGAACTCTTGCCCCTCTTGAACTTGGCAACTGACTCTGGGCAGTATATTGTTTCCTTTAAGTTTGATTCTGGAGCATGGAACCAGCTCCTAATAGAAGGTGCCCAGTGGCAGCACCATCTTCTGTATAACAGCCTACCTCCTAGAGCACTTGCCTGGGAAATGGGAAACTGGGGTTCTTGGGTCTCTCCTAGCCTGACAGGATGCAAATCAACTTCTTCCACCACCCAGCTAAGTGCTCTAAATAACAGGAAATAAAATAAATGAAGTATGGGGGCAGGCACCTTCCACCCTTCCTGTTGAAGCTGCAGTCAAGAATGTAGGAGTCCTTGGGCCACAAGGCGAAAAAGCAAGAAGGAGCCTAGTGGTGAAGGCACACACTTGGGAGGAAAGGGTGATCTGGGTGCATTATTTCTGTGTTTTACCCAATGACTGTCTAGTCTAAAAAGCATTAAGAGCTAAATCCGATTTCACTTTACATAGCACTTACATAGCAACTAACTGCAATTTTTGGCACTTAAACACATTTTGGATTTTATTTTCACCTGCAGCAGCAGGAACAAGAACCTCCCAGTCCAGTGCTTACATTCAGAAGCTACAAAGTTATACTATAATCTGACTTTGATCCCCACTCCCCAGGTCCTCCAAATATGGTCTGTGGACCACTGCTATTCCCTGGTGCCTTTGCTACTAGTTCACAGAAAGAGGGCTGGTTATATACAATGCTAGCCCCTCTTCCATTTTCACAGTGACTAAATCAAGCTAAAATAGATAAAACTGTATTAACTGCCTGAATTAAGTTTTCTGTATAAGCAACTTTTGGAGTTGCTAGAGGGAGATTGTATGTTTGGGAACAAGGAAAGAGCTATCAGTGAGATATCTCCATATTATGAAAATGTTTGAGAGTCCCAGAGGTTGCCCACCTTCCCAATACTAAGGATTATTTCTTATTGTTCATTTTGTGAGTTCCCTACATCCAAGATCCAAGGCACTGTAACACATATTTCCCAAGCAGAACACACTGCAAGGAAGACATACATGGTAGGGTGGGTACAAAGAGCAGCAGGTCCCAATTAAAAAATAATGATGTAATAATGTAAACAGACAGACTTTGAATAAACTAAGTGTATTACAGTCCAAAAGGTCAGGAACAGACAGGGAACAGTTCAGACTCCAAGTATCCATAGGCAGGAGGCATAAACTATTTGTTATTGGACAGTACTCTGGTCAATAAGAGAAACCCAGCTTGCCATCACATAGCCAGTCACAGCCATTGCTTGCTGACTAACTTGCGTTAATTAGCTTCATTGACCAAACTGGCTGACTTTTGTCTAAACAACCCTGACAAGGGCAGGACATAGAACTTCCTCAGTCCCTGGGCTCCTGTTCTGCAGACTCTGCAAATCCTTAAGTCCCAGGACCTTGTCCTTGTCAATGCCTTTCTTTCACTCTCTATCTGAAAATCTTAGACTCATAGAATCATAGAAAAGTAGGACTGGAAGGCTGCAGAGGTCATCTAGTCTTGCCGCATTAAGAGCAGTACAGGTAAATTGTACTAGGTGTCAAGGGCCTTACATAAAAATGAATTAAGACAGAGCTGAGTGCATCCATCCTTGAATCTGGAAACGTGGATCAAGCACGTGATTGGTAGTTCTACATGGTACAATGCAGTGCTGCACAGAGCTACATGAACTGACTGTAAATGCTTTAGCTTGTGTGGAGTCTGCATGGGAAGGCAGCACCATGCAGAGAGATACCTGAGCTAGCTCTGCGCATAGAAGATCCAGAAATGGAGGCAGTACAGATGTATTAGCACAGTGCTGCATCCAGGTTAATAAGTGCTGTTTCTCAGCCATATAACTGTGCTCTATGGACCTCAGTTTACTAGGTCCTAACTTGTTCCAACTAACCTGGCATTGGTGCTGAAGCACTGCATTCTGGGACATGTGTCTGTTGAAAGAGAATCACCTGTGGCTCACATTTAGATGCTCCTGGGCCTTCAGCATATCAGCTGTTTCACCCTGATATTCATTAAAGGTTGCTGGTGGTGAGAAACAGACATTAGGATAGAGAGTGACTATAAACATGAAGAACAGTGGTGAGTAGATTATGGGAGCTGGCTTTGGTCCTTAGGCATGCCAAACTTCCATTGACTTCTCTGGGAGTTTTTGCCTGTAGGATTGGGCCTACTGGCTTAAATACAATTGACTTCAACATGCTGAAGTCAGACACATTTTGGGAAACCTTCCAGAAAGCTGGAGAAAGAATCTATCCCTGGAGACTTGCTTTCTTTTTATCAAACCCATTTCTGTCATGGTTGCCAAAGAAAGAGAAAAGGATGATCCTACTGTGTTGATATTTTGTATACCTTCCCCTTACAGCTGAAATTTCTGCTATATGTCAGAAGAAGGTAAGATGAAGACATTTTTATGATGGGGCATGAATTGGTGTTTTTGTGCGTAACTTCATTCCATTTCCATGTGATACATTTTTTGCCATCCAGAGTGTTTTGTTATGTATCCGTTATCACATTTGTTAAGGATAAATTAAAGTAATTTAGCAAGGACATTTCTTTCTGCTCAAATTCCTGATATCTCACTTGATTTCTAGGTATTTCCATTAAAATAATAAATGTGCAATTGAACTCAGTTGTCTGTCTAATATTATGTATAAAGAAAGATGTAGGGAAGATTTATTTTAAATTTAAACTTGTTGGGTTTTTTTCCTGGGCTCTGCTATGCTAAAGTCCTGCATTAATCAGTCTTTACTTCAGCAATACTCCCATTATAATGAGTACAGTTTTCCCTAAGTAAAGCTTAGGTTATTTGAAAAAAATGCTGTCCAGCTGGCATAAATTGGTGCTGATCCTCTGAAGTCACCAAAGCTCAGCTGACTTACAGTAGCAGAGGACGTGATCTTGTTATGTGAAGTTTACTTCAATTCCAGAGTACAGCTAGGGCAAAGAGAACCTGTAGAGACACAACTATTAAACTTTTAACATATAAGGCAAATGACTTCCTCTTTTTGTATTTCTAGTTTATTTCTAAGAATCAATCTGTCAGGGGAGGCATAGCAGGTGTTCTGAATCAGTGTGTGGGTGGACTGGGATATAAACACAGTAGAGGAGAGCTAAAATTCAGAGGTTGCTGCTGTTAAGTATAGAGATGGGCCCAAGTAAAAAAGTTGGGCTTGTTGGTGGAGATACAGGTTTAGATTAGCCAGGGCGTTCAGGTCTAAGCCTATATCCATCTTTTTTTTAAATTCAGTGATATATACCTTTGTTTGTTGTTTTGGGCTCATCTCTGGTGAATTATGAAACATGCCAACATTTTAGCTCTCTCCATTATGCTGACTTTATTTTTGTCTGCAGTTCCACTTGCAGAAATTTATGGTTTAATGAAATCTGCTGCTTTCAGAACTGTAGCTCACATGTGAGAAGAGCTGTCGTCACCTGCTTTTCAGCAGGCTGTTGTGGCCGCCATGGCAACAGGCCAGTGCGCTACTGCAAAAGATGTCATTCGAACCATCACAGCAGCGAAGTTGGTGCAGCAGCAGAAACCCATCTTTACCAGACTTCGCCTCCCCCTATCAATACACGGGAATGTGGGGCTGAGGAACTAGTTTGTACTGTGGAAGCTGTGATCAGGTAGTGTACCATTTACAAGGCAAGAATGGGCAGATCGTAATCCACATGCAAATCCTCATGTGAACCTGTGTGAGACACAGGGCCATATTCTGATCTTAGCTTCAACAAGTGACTTCACTGAAGCGCTGCTGGTGTCACTGAGATCAAAATCTAGCCCAGGGACTTTGCTGAGAGGTGTGTACATGTGTCTGAGTTGCAGAAGAGCTGGGATTTAATTTTATAACCCTCCAACAACACAACACACAGAGTTGAATGAAATCTAGTGCTTTAAGCTTCCATTAATTGCTGATCTGCTACTGACCTAGCACAGGAAAGCTGAATCATGAACTGTGTTCATATTGTCTTACAGCTTGCTGAAAGAAGCAGAATTCCATGCTGAGCAGAGGGAGTATGAACTCAACCGCAGAAGACAAATGGGCCTCTCCTCTTCCCATCATTCCTTGGACAACACTGACTTTGATAACAAAGATGATGATAAGCATGACCAGCGGCTTCTGAGCCAGTTTGGAATCTGGTTCTTAGTAAGAGTTCCTGGATATTCTCTTTCCTTCTCTCCTCCCTTCTCTCCTCTCCTTTTAGGGTTTGGCCAACACTGTTCTGCCAATAGGCCTTCATATACTAAGCTTTGCCAAGGGGGTTTTGGGCCTCACTCCAGGAAGGCAACTGAGTATGCAGTTAATTGTAAGCAGTAGTCCCATCAGAGCTTAAAATACTGTATATACATGAATAGAAGATGACCCTGATGATCAGGTAACCTCCCAATAATTAGATTCTATATATGGAAAATTTATAAATTTGTTAAAATTTTCCAGGTATAGAATCTAATTATTGGAGGGTTGCCTTCATTTCATTCCCCTCTCACTGCTACATCAAGGAAAATAAATCTGGGGGGTCAGGTAGCCCTTTTGCTCTCTGCTTTCTTCCAGCATTTTCCCCTGGAAGCCCCTTCCCCCTCTCCTTACTGTCAGACCCTGCTCTCCCTAAGCACACACAGGTGGGCACGTCTACACATGCATTTACTCTAGCCTAGATTTATTGTGCAGTAAGCTACCGAAAAGTAAGGGCATGTCTACAAATAGCTCATCACTATGTCTCTGTAGGGCAATGTCACCATAGTGATCATGTATGTCTACATGTGATCACCAGCTACATCACCATAGGGGCGCGCTCCCTGGGTATAGCACTCCATTACGATGATGTAGCAGCAAAATCTACCTGTGTACCATGTGTACAGCACAATAATGGCCCATAGTGTGCCGTGCTTTAGTACTTCCAAAAGGTGCCATAGCAATGTCACTTTACGGCGACAAGTGTAGACATGCCCTAAGGGTTTTTGGGCAGGTGTTTACACATGCGGGGAATAGGGAGACGATTTTCTCCCAGGTCCTAGCAGCCCTGCAATGCATCCCTGCCGCCACTGGGGTGAGCTCCAGGCTCCACCTGGGTGCTAGCCTAAGGGAAGACAGGGAGCACTGGGCCAGGAGACAGCTGTGTCCAGGCTCTGTGGGGCTATCTGCTGCTGGGGCAGGGACAGTGTCCCCCTGCCCCAGCAGCAGGGAGCTTCTGGCTCTGACTCCCCAATAAGAGGCACGGGGCTTGGAAAGAGCTGCAGGGGAGGGTCAGGTTCCAGCCCCCTGCTCTTATCTGCCAGTGGGGCAGTGAGCAGCTAGCTCACTGCTAGCTGCCCCACCAGTGGATCAGGGCAGAGGGTGGGACCTAACCCACCCCTGTAGCTCTTTCCAAGACCCATGCCTTGATCACATGGTCAGAGCATGGGGCTGGGACCTGCCCCTGACCAGGACAGTTCCAAGCCAGCCCCAAGATGCGTGGGCAAGTCTGCATGTGCAGCCCAGAGCTAGCTGGGGACCGCCCCAAATGGGACAGGGGCAAGTTCCATCCAGCTCCAGGCTGCATGGGGAACTGTCCCCATTCAGTGAGGGCTGGGGAGCTTGTTCCCAGCCTGTTCCCAGCCCCTGCTCTGTGATTGTGATCAGGGAGCAGAGGCTGGAAGCTCCCTGCTGCCAGGGCAAGAGAACATTGTCCCTACCTGGGCATGCAGGTTGGGGGCTGGGGAGCTTGTTTTCTGCCCAGCTCCGTGAGCATGGAGCTCGGGTGGGGGGAACAGGCTGGGGAGCTAGTTCCCCTTCCAGCTTTGTGCTTGCAGAGATGGGTGGGGAACAAGCTCCCTAGCCCCCACCAGCGGGGAGCTCCCAGCACTGGCTCCATGACTGCGGGGTTGCTACTGGGAGATGCTTATATCCCAGCCTGAGTTCCATGGTCTTGGGGCTCAGACTGGGAGACCCTAATCTCCCACCTCAAATTTTGCAGTCATGGGGCTTGGGCTGGGAGATAAGCATTTCCCAGCAGCGGCCCCATGACCACAGAGTTCAGGTTGGGATATAAGCATCTCCCAGTAGCAGCCCCTCAGTTGCAGAGCTGGTGCTGGGAGCTCCCTGCTGGCAGAGGCTGGGGAACTTGTTCCCCAATCAGCTCTGCATTTGTGGAGCTGGGTGCGGAACAGGCCCTCCAGCCCCTATTGGGAGGGAGGTCCTGGTGCCAGCTCCATGACCGTGGGGCTGGTGCTTGGAGACCCTTATCTCCTAGTGCCTGCTCCATGACTGCGGGGCCGGTGCTGGGAGATCCTTATGTAGATGCACATGCTTACTTTACAGTAAACTATGCTAATCCTAACTATGCTAATCAGTGACTTGGACGAGGGAGTGAAATGTACTCTGTCCAAGTTTGCAGATGACACAAAGCTATGGGGAGATGTGGACATGCCGGAGGGCAGGGAACAGCTGCAAGCAGATCTGGACAGGTTGGACAAGTGGGCAGAAAACAACAGAATGCAGTTCAACAAGGAGAAATGCAAAGTGCTGCACCTAGGGAGGAAAAATGTCCAGCACACCTACAGCCTAGGGAATGACCTGCTGGGTGGCACGGAAGTGGAAAGGGATCTTGAAGTCCTAGTGGACTCCAAGATGAACATGAGTCGGCAGTGTGACGAAGCCATCAAAAAAGCCAATGGCACTTTATCGTGCATCAGCAGATGCATGACGAATAGGTCCAAGGAGGTGATACTTCCCCCCTCTCGGGCGCTGGTCAGACCGCAGTTGGAGTACTGCGTGCAATTCTGGGCGCCGCACTTCAAGAGGGATGCGGATAACCTGGAGAGGGTCCAGAGAAGGGCCACTCGTATGGTTAAGGGCCTACAGACCAAGCCCTACGAGGAGAGACTAGAGAAACTGGACCTTTTCAGCCTCCGCAAGAGAAGGTTGAGAGGCGACCTTGTGGCTGCCTATAAGTTCATCACGGGGGCACAGAAGGGAATTGGTGAGTATTTATTCACCAAGGCGCCCCCGGAGGTTACAAGAAATAATGGCCACAAGCTAGCAGAGAGCAGATTTAGATTGGACATTAGGAAGAACTTCTTCACAGTTCGAGTGGCCAAGGTCTGGAACGGGCTCCCAAGGGAGGTGGTGCTCTCCCCTACCCTGGGAGTCTTCAAGAGGAGGTTAGATGAGTATCTAGCTGGAGTCATCTAGACCCAGCACTATTTCCTGCTTATGCAGGGGGTCGGACTCGATGATCTATTGAGGTCCCTTCCGACCCTAACATTTATGAATCTATGAATCCGAATTTAAGTATCTCGGGTAGACGTGCCCACTGAGTAGGATATTTGAAAGCAATAACCTTGAAATTAAACATGGCTGTAGTAATTTCCATATGGTACCCATAGACTTAGTATATCCAGGATTGATGCACGTTATCTTTTTTTTTTTTTTTTAAACTACTGCACGTTTTAGCATAAGTATGCCATAAACACACTTTTGAGCAGCACTTTCCCACCTACTTATAAATAGTACAAACTATTTTTTTCTTAAATTAAGAAAAATATCCAGATTCAATGTAGCTCTTTTTTCCTTTCCCCTCTCCTCTCCTCTCCTCTCCTCCCCTTCAAAAAGCATAGTTAAAAATGCATCCTGTTCCTGGAAACACAAAATCTTCTCCAACGTACTCTCTCATTTCTTTTAGGTATTCCACCTTTTACATCTTATCAGTACATGAACCTTTCCCCATCCCCATCCCCTTTATTTATACAACCCAGTTTCCCATGCAACTCTTTTTTTACCTCTTTCTTTCCTTAGGTTCTATCCACAAACATCAGGACCCATTTCTCTTTCTCCCAGACTGTGCACTTTTTCCTCCCTCTCTCTTCCTGATCCCTACAGAGGTATATTTTCACCCTGTATAGACCTAGCTTTAAGCTGTTTGACACACCACTCCACATTTATGAAGACCAGCAAATTTCATACAGTCCACAAGGCATTTTTAAAACAAATTACCACCTTCTGTCTTGTGCAAGCTCAATTTTGTTCTGCTTTTGGCATATCTCCCTATTACACCACTTCAGCTGCCAGCTTGGTGCCTGTTAGAAGGTATAATTGCTTTACACTTCCCCACACCCTTTGTGCAAAAGCACATTCCCACAGCAAGTGCTCATGCATTTCTTTCCTGGTACACATATCCCTTTGGCATTTTGCAGTCCAGTAGAGCTGCCAGCAATGTTGCAGCTCATAAACTGGCAGTATTCTGTGTGTCAGTATCCAGCTTAGCTCTCGGTACTCTTTTAAAAAGTCTTTTTCACACCACAGAGAAAGTAGACAGATAGTGTCTACTTTCTCTGTGGAGAGTTTCCTGATCAGAGCAGTTCTATCTCATTCATGCCCCTTTTGTTGGATCTTGCAATGGTCTTTCATTTCCTCCAGTTATATCTGCTATAAATTATATTGGTTCTGGAAAGCTTCTATTACTGGATACCATTTAGGGGGCTGCCATGCCCGTGGCTGTGTGGTCAGGCATTCTCTTGTTTTTCCCATGTCCTCCATAGTCTTCCTTCCTGACAATGCGTGCTGCTTTGGACTCTGCTCTGACCACCAGTTACAGCACAGGCTTAAGTAAGTGACCGTTATAAACAAGAACACATCTGGGAAGTTTCTCTCCCCCTGTATCTTCTGTCTTTATAAAATGCCCCATGCCATGCTCTCCTGTTGTGACCCCCAGAAGCACACACACATGCTTCTATGTATTGCACAGGCTGTACTCCATGCTGGAGGGAACACCAATCCTGTATGTAAAATTACAGCAAGATCATGGCTTTTAGCAGCTTCACCTTTCCCTCTAGGGTCAGCTTCTGCCAACTCGAGAGTCCCAACTTTTGCTTAACCCTCACAGTAGTTTTCTGTCATGCCTTCTTCCCTTTAAGCTCAGCATTAAAATGTACTCCTAGTACCTGTATCCCTTCTTTTACCACCTTGACCCATATCTCTGACATGTCCCTTACCTCCCCATGTCCCATACCAGTACTATTTGCAATGTTGAGTTTTGCTCCTGCTGCTTTCTTGTAAAGCTGAAATGCTTTATTGCTTCCCTGATGGACCCTTGGTTCCTACATGCCACATGTATGTCAACCATGTATGTGAGGCACTTGGTCTGCTTTCTGCTTCCTCCCAATATTTGA